ATATATATATATATATATATATATATATAGTTCGTAGATACGTTTAAAACCCAATAACACTCAATTCTAAATGTTTAAAACTGTGATTTTAATATTATCGCGCGCGTCGAGTTTGATGATTATCAACATATAGAGATGATAACTGTAAAGAAAGAAATATAATTGTGCAGCAATGTATAAGATGTTATAGTATTACAAGTATTTATACTTATTTATGCCGCACCTGTATAATAAAAAATTGTGAATTTAATATGTATTATCCAAATATTTATGTCAGTAATAATCGCAAATTTGTATCAATTGTCGATAATGTCATCGTTCTTCACTTATCCCCGAACTCTATCTTCATTTTCCGGACTTCTCGTTTCATCCTTGTTGTTTATCAAACATTAAACGAGGATGCTCGCGAGCAGCTGATGAGCATTGTAAGTACCAAATAATCGACTGTGATTGGCCAATTTCTTTATTTCGTGTATTGTAGACGACTCATAATATCGCGTGTAAATAAGAATCTGCGTAGAACGTATTGGAGAGGTAAGGAAATATTATAAACTAATATGTACAAGCGTTCGCTGTGTTCTGGTGAGTTGGGATTAGGATTAATTAGGATCAGCTATAAACTGATGTCTATTGTCTAGCACTGCTGATAACAATGAACTGAGGCTATCGGTAGCCGGAATGATAAAAGATAGTACGAGACATTTATTTGGTGTGAATGTACGTATTCTTATTAAAGGTTAACTATTGAATATTTTGGTTATATCAGTATTTCGCATGCAATCGAAGCATTCAAGCCTTTTGGACGTCGCAATTTTGAAAAGGTACGGAAATAGAAGATGTCTAAGATCCTTCTTAAATCATGATATAAAAAAATCTTTACATTGAAGGTTGAATGCCTACATATTAATTTTCGATATATAATTGGAGAATCGATTGCTCTATCAATTTGTCTTCTTTTCATAGTTATTTTTTTATATTCTTTATTTGTTGTGTTTTCTGATTTATTCGTCTACAATCTACAAGATTCTAGGTTTCGATATCTCATGTTGAAGAAGCTAATTCACGAATAATTCAATCTACAATTTTTTCAGAATGGAAGATGTCTTTGCCAAATCAAATGTTTGACTGTATAAAAACAAATAATTTGACAAAAGATGAACTAAATCGAATAACTGACGATGTAAATAAAGCTTTAATTGACCCAAAAGGCAATGAACTTTTTGAAAGCTATCTTTCTCAGTTCAATTTTTTGGATGGTTCAGTAAATTTGAGGTTGTACAACACCTGTTCAAAGATCCTGAATGAAAAGCAGAGATCGTGAGTCTATCACAATTAATACTAATATGAATCTTATATGAAGCATTTTATTACAAGATAATAGTGTTCATATACTTTTATAATACTCAAGGTTAACACTTAAGATAGATTGCTACATACATTTTTGAAAAAATATGTAGCTACTTGTGTAACAATATTGAAAACAAACATATGTGTGTTTAAGTAAAAATAATATGTGATATTTTACATATATATAATATATCTCAAAACAACCAAAGTTTATATTAACAATCAAGGAAATTTACAGGAGTCAAAGCAATTTATCAGGAGAATCATTGGAATCACTTATTACTAAAGTAAAAATGATAAAAGAAACTATCGAAGAAGAAGATATAACTGCAATAGATTTTTGTGTTATGACAGACTTGAACAAAGCCTTGGAGGCAGAAAACAAAGAAAAATTACTCGGCGTATTAGAAAGGATCAAAGAAGAATGTCAAAATAATCTACGAGATTTGCATCAAAATTTTAGGCGGCACATCTTGGAAAAATAACGTTTAAAATTTTTTTAAAATATTAACTTAAAATTTTTACATTTTTATATTTTCTTTTTTTCTTTTTTGCATTTGTGCGTTGCATTACGAAGATCCTTCATATTTGTTCCTGCATAATTTATTTTTACACGTGCAGTTTACATACTGTACAATGTACTTATTATCCCAAAGTACTTAATATAATAGCTCTGGTATTATAAAAGTAAAGTTAAAGTAAGAATATACTTTAGATTATTAAATATATATATACTATCTAAAACTTTCAAAGTAAAATCTCATTCTTAAAAATTGAAAATTGAGTCACTTTTTCAAGACTTTATTTCTTATAGTGAGATTCCATTTCACAGAAGGATAGAATAAGAATAATATGGTTCCTTATGTAAAAGCGCTTGATTCATAGTCAGATATTTTAATTTCGATTATTTTTTCGTGTATATACTTCTAAATAAGAGACTGATTGCAGAGTGAGACGAATTAACCTGAATTAAGAAATAATAAATTGAAACATTTTTCTAAGTTAATACAGATCTAGTCATTGTAGCTAACCCGATGTAGTTAAAATGAAATATATATATATTTGAATTTTACCGAAAGCGAGAAAAAGTTTTAGTGCAGCTTAGTAAGCAACAAAGAACAGGCCTATGAATCAGTCGCTTCATATTGCTTTGTAATATTTATTTATTTATTTAATTGTTATGGCAACGAACATACAGAGGCTTAATAAATCTTGTCAATTAGTTCTATACGTCTTCTCTGCGTTGTATCCTTTCTACTGTCAGTTAAATCACATCACAATTGATAAATGTTGAATATGAGACACGTGGATAAATCAGAGGAAAAATACATCGCGACGATTAATCGAATCCACGATACTATTCGTAAATTAGAAGAAACTACGAAGTATTCACGGGATTTGGAAGCTGTTCGATTTCTGCGGTATTCTATGTTGAAGTCTCGCGATAAAATTCTGACGGACGACTTGAGGAAACTTAAAATACGAAATAAACAGATGTTAAGTAAGAGCAAAATTTCTATTTAACATCACATATTTAGCTCGTAATCTGGTGGAAAGATCGCTTTTTAGATTTATTTCGACAAAGTGTCACGGACGTTCAACTCGGTTCTCTCGACATACTGCCGGAAACTCTGAGGAGACAAGTGCAGAAAATATGGCACCAGAAGTAATTTCCTCTATCCATCATACCATTAATGATTTGCATGTTGACACGTTAATTTCAGATACGACGCTTTGTTATCTCAAAACGAACAATTAAAGAGACAAATTACCGCTTTAGATTGCGCGATGAAACAGAAACAGAAAGAGGTATGTTTGACTATAGTTGTGCCATATTTGTATCTCAACCATCGAGTTTAACGAAAGTATGATTTTGTTATTTAAAAAACGAGTAATATCCATTTTTACCAATATAGACTAACTTTAATCTTAATTTAACATACTTTTTATTTTTTTCTAATTTTAAGAATTAGAAAAAAATTAAATAAATTAAATCAGATATCTCGATTTAATTTAATGTTTAATCTACTTCTACTGGTAGAAATGTGTATTTTAGAATGAAATTTTTAATAGGCAGTTAATTGATTTTTTGGAGTTATATTATG